GCAGGGTGCTCCTAGCCTTCTACAATACAGACTCAGCGTTTATTAAATTACCACTTGAATTTCAAAATTATAGGTATCCAGTGCACGCTCAAATATCAGCCCAATGCTGGAAAACTCTTGAAAGATTTCAAAGCGTTTTGTCTGAAGGACGAACAATTTAAGGCTGAGGTAGCAGCAAAGAAAGCTCAAGTAGAAAAGTTTACTGATCGCTTTGAAATGCCCGGATTTGACAATTTTTAATTTTGTTAAGTATTTAATTTAAATTTTGTTAATTATAGTTAAACATGACAGTCATTTGCATCTAATTTGAATGAATCAAATTATTGTAAATTGTCGTTTTGGTTTTTATTAAATTTGCTTCGAACGTTATATTTTGATACTGCAACTTAGAAAGACGTGTTAAGAGTTTTCGGCTAAAAGAAAAGGAAGACTCTAGATATTAAGGTGAGGCTTTAAAAATGGAAAGTGCTAAGCCTTATGATACAGTAACAATCCCATGATATTCTTTCTGACGTGTCTCATTTTCGCAAAATATTGAGTAATCATTCTCTTTCCGTAATCGGAAGCCAGTCATCTCGGAACATGTCAGTCAAGATATCTCGAATCTGTGAAATACAAAAACGAAAAATTTCATTCCTTTGATAAAGAACAATACATAGAAACAACCGGTTACCGAATGATAACGCCTAACTCTGTAACTGCAGCCTTTTCAATAAGTGCATGAATTTCATTCGCTTCTTTTTTGGTTAGTGTCTTTTCCATATGGCGGTACACAATCCTGAAAAATGCAGAAAATATATTCTCTTAAGATACAGTTTTCTTATTTACTGCCACCTCATTCGAGCTATTAATTGATTTAACCGTTTTTAAAAGCCAGCAGCAGAGAGACCGATAACAGTCGATGAACGGCCGACGATTGCGACACCATTGCATTCAGAAGTGGCTATGCCAGATCTTACGAAATTTACGGCTGAACTTTTCAATCGACATAGCTACTTGACCGCAACATATTTAACGGGTTAAAGCTTATCTGTAGAAACATAAGAAAACTACAGAATAAATCTGAGGAAGAGTGCCGATGAAAGAACTAGATGTTAGTCCTGAAATGTTTCTTGCGTGCTAAGAAGCTAAGGGCACTGGTGACATTTCTTCACGCTTTTACCCTAAAAATCATGCTATATCTTAAATTCAGTAAATAAACATTTTTACAGGCCGCTACTTGTGGGTTACAAGAGAGCGGGTTGAGGGGTTTTCTGCTGATTCTGATTATCCACCAATCATGTAAGCTTCACAATTAAAATTAAATTAAAATCTTAATTTATTAGGCCAATAAATAGCCTTAAACAGAAGTTCAGCATGTCTCCATATGATCCTAGATTTAATCAATACGATTTAATTAAAGTGACAAGAATCATTGAGGGCCAGACATTGAAGGCCTATCTACCGCTGCCTTGCTCGTATCGGTATCGTAGGTAATTAACAGGGGCGGGTACGGCTCACTACTATTATAGCGTTTGTCGTGCACTACGCATCATTTATAAACAAACTTTTCTCTATCAGCGATGTTCTGAAGAACATATTTTACATATTCTACTAGATGATTCATCAAATGAATTTAATACCCAATAATATTTTGACAGTATAAATCCACCTAGTCGTTTTACAGCATTACTGCACAGTCACTTCTGTCCATTCAGAAATCTAAGGATAAATGTTTTATTACAAATAAAACTAAAATGCATAAATAGTCATGTGTTACATCGTTGTGTGTTGAGCAATCAGGTTTCGTCAATGAATACGTTTATAATTCAATACTATATAAATATCAGACAGCGGAACATGAAACAAAATATACTTTTTATGGTACTTATGTATATAACGTTGTTTTACATTAACTAACTATTCTTTAGCGCTTTTGGGAAAGAATAAATGTAGACTGAAGATT